CCCAAAAATCACCCCAAAAATCACCCCAAAATCGGCATGGGGAGAGCAGAGAAAACACAAAAAATCAACCCCAAAAAATCACCCCAAAATCGGCATGGGGAGAGCACAGAAAATTCAAAAAATCACCTCGAAAAGTCCCAAAATCAGCGAGGAAACAGGTGGGATTGTGGGGTGAATTTTGGAGGGATTTTGAGGTGAATTTTGGGGGATTTGGGGATGAATTCTGGGGGATTTTGGGGTGAATTTCAGGTGAATTTTGGGGGATTTTGGGGTGAATTTTGGGGTTTTTGGGTCTCACATCTCCAGCAGGATCTTGTCCAGCTCCGGCCTCAGGCAGAGTTTGTTCAGGAAACGCCAGAAAGTCTCGAAGGGGAACAGCTCAGGGGGGATGGCAGCGCCCTGGGGACCCCAAAAAAAAACCCCAAAATTCACCCCAAAACCCTCGCCAAATCATCCTCCAAAAAAAACCCCACAAAACCAAAAAATCCCACCCAGAAACCCCCAAAAAAACCAAAAAACCCCCCAGGAAACACCGAAAAAAACCCCAAAATCACAGCCCAAAAACACCTTTAAACCACCCCAAAAAAAACCCTCTGGGGACCCCAAAACCGCCCAAAATCACCCCCAAAACCCCCCCGGAAACCCCAAAATTTCCCTCAGGAATCCCAAAGAATCAGCCCAAACCCTCCCCGGCTTTCAGGAGAGCCCCAGTTTGGGGGATTTTGTGGATTTTGGGGGATTTTTGGGATTTTTGGGGATTTTTGGGTCCCCACCCGGCTGCAGCTCAGCCCGCAGGATTCCAGCGCCGTCTCCGCCCTTTTCTTGTCAGCCGAGAACATTTTCAGGATGCTGCCAAAAAAAAAAAAAAAATTAAAAAAAAAAGCCTAAAATTTTGGGGTGGGGGGTCTTCCAAATTTCGGAGAAGGGTCCCCAAGATTTGGGGGGATTCGTGTTAAGGGGGGAAAAAACAAAAAAAAAAAAAAAAAAAAAAACACGAAAAAAACAAACAAAAAAACAACAAAAAAACCCCCAAAAAACAAACAAAAAAACCCCAAAATTTTGGGGGTTCTCTCACTTCTTGACCGGGATCCGCCCATCCGAGTTCAGCTGCAGCGTCAGCTTCGTGTACCTGGGGGGGGCAAATTCGGGGGGTCCCAAAATTCGGGGGGGGGATTTGGGGAGAGATTTCCCAGGCGAATTTTTGGGTGATTTTGGGGAGGGGTTTTGGGGTGACTTCAGAGGATTTTAGGGAAGGTTTTAGGGATGGTTTTGTGAATTATTTCGGGGTGCTTTGGGGGTGATTTTGGGGTGTTTTTGAGGTCGTTTTTGAGGGCGTTTTGGGGCTGTTTTCGGGGTGTTTTTAGGGTGTTTTGGGGCTGTTTTTTGGGGTGTTTTTGGGGTGTTTTTGGGGTACCCACGCCTTCCTGAGCAGCGTGTTCCGTGACGCGTTCCGGGCCAGGATGTTCGTGGCCAGCCTGAACAGCTCCTCCGTCCACACCTGCCACAGCCACGTTTGGGACCCCAAAACCCCCCTAAACCCACCCCCCCAAAAAAAACCAAAACCCCAAAAGCCCTCCAGGACCCCCCGAAGCACCCGAGCCCTCCCAAACGACCCCAAAATTGGGCACCCGGAGCCCCCCAGGAGCTCCTAAAGCCTCCGAACCACCCAGTGGTGCCCAAATCCCCCCAAAATCGCCCCAAATCCTCCCCCCAGACCCCCCCACCTTGGCCTCCCCATCCTGCACGGCCACGAAGTTGAGGAAGCCGAGGTTGACGAGGTCGGGGCCGTGGACCACGGTCAGGAGCCGGTGGGGAGGGGGACCCCCGGGCACCCCAAAACCCAGAGCGTCCCGAGTGCGGGGGTCCTGCGGAGAGACCCCAAAATGGGTCCAAACCCACCCAAAATGGGTCCAAACCCACCCAAAACGGGTCCAAACCACCCCAAAATGGGTCCAAACCCCCCAAAATGGGTCCAAACCACCCCAAAATGGGTCCAAACCCCCCCAAAATGTGCACAACCCCCCAAAAAATGGACCCAAACCCCCCCCCAAATGGACCCAAACCCACCCAAAATGGATCCAAGCCCTCCCAAAATCCACTAAAAATGCAGAGACCCCCAAAAACTGGAAGCAGCCCCGCCCCAAACAGGGTCAAACTCCCCCGAAACGGGATCAGAAACAGCAACAAAGCCCCCAAAGTCCACCTGGACACCCCAAAATCGGCCCCTCCTCACCCCAAGCCCCCCCTCCAGCCGCCTCAAAACCCCCCCGGCCCCCCCAAAGCCGGAGCCGAGGCCCCAAATTCCCCCCCTGGGGTTTTGGGGTCCCACCTTGGGGGCGCGGGCGAAGCGCCCGGTCCGGGTGTCCCGGACACTGCAGATGTCCACGAGCTCCACCTCCTGTGGGACCCCAAAAAACGGGTCAGGGACCCCAAAAAACGGGATAGGGACCCCAAAAAACGGGTCAGGGACCCCAAAAAACGGGTCAGGGATCCCAAAAAACGGGTCAGGGACCCCCAAAAACGGGTCGGGGACCCCAAAAAATGGGTCGGGGACCCCAAATATAGGAGAGGGACCCCAAAAATGGGAGAAGGACCGGAAAACCACATCAGAGACCCCAAATATGGGACAGGGACCCCAAAAACCACATCAGGGACCCCAGTAATGGGTCGGGGACCCCAAACCCAGGTGTGGAACCCCCAAACCGGGTCTAGGACCCCAAAAATTGGGTCAAGGACCCCAAAAACCACATCAGGGAGCCCAAAAAGGGGTCAGAGACCCCAAAACTGCATCTAGGGCTCCAGAATCGGGTCCGGGACCCCAAAAAAACGGAGGAGTTTCCGTGAGGGGGAGGGGCAGGGGAGCATTTCCGGGGGGAGGGTGGGGGAGGGGCGTGGGAAAAGCGCCCCCTCGCCCCTCCCCCCCTCCCAGGGGACCCCGCATCCGGCCCCTCCCGATCCCCCCAAATTCCTCGAAACCGCCCCAAATTCCGGCTGGGAGGGGCTGATAAGGGGGGAGAGGGGCGGGGGCGATTTTTGGGGGGGGGGTTTGGGATCGCGTTGGGGTCAGGTCGGGGTCCCTGTCGGGGCCACACCTGGGACGTTTTTGGGGTTTTTTTGGGTCATTTTGGGGTAACTCGGAGTAAGTTT